GTACTGTGATATCGGCGTCGGCCCAGGGTTTCCATGTGCTCGTCAAGCACGGTATGTCTTCTACGACCTCGCCACTGTGCATCAGTCGCGCGGTAGCAAAGCGATGGTTCGTGACCTTCCACGGTACCCGCCATGTCTCCCCGCCATCTTTACTCACTGCGAGTGTACTGTCTGGTGTGATTTGTTGTATCAAAGTACCAGTAGGCACGCTGAAACCAAAGTGCGATGAGTAAGCGTATTTTCCGTATTTGGCTTCTGTAGCTTTGAGCGGCCAAGGACAGAATTGGCCCATGGAAAGGAGGAAATGGTGGTTTGGCTGGTTGCAGATGATATGCATAGCTGGTTCAACTGGCATAACCGCCACATCTGCACTGGGTAAAGGCTTCTCCTCCGCAGTCCAGAACGGGTGGCCTTCCCGCAGTCCTAGCGCTAGGAAAGATTTCATGGCCCAGTAAGGAGACTGTGGGCTGTTGTAGTCTTCGCTCATGTACATGTTGGGGTAGGTAAAGCCGATTGTCAATGTGCCGTCGATGTTGAACATGTCGTCTTTCTTGCTCCACCAGCGGAAGTGCCGGAGCAAAAGTCCTTTGATCACGCCCCAGTCGTTGAGCGGTTCCGGGAGCTCGAGGTCTGCGAAAGCGATGACGGACCAGAATCCAGCGAATGCGAAACGGTATGTTAGACTGCGGCCAAAGGGTATAGCGGCACCTAGGGCGCGTTAGTTAGTGCTAGGTGCTCGAGATAGGTATTCAACATACCGTTCGTGTCGAAGTACCGCCAGAAAGACACTGCAAACTCCTTTGCTCTACCCCGAAACCTTTCGCACCGCTCTGGATCCAGATCCTGTGCCATCTTCGCATATATGAGCTGCGAGAACTGGATCGCAAAGCTGCCGGAATAGTAATCTGCCTGTCGTCCCTCGTCGCTCCAGATACCATCTGCTGCCCAGCCGTCCCTTCGGTAGAACTGCTCCATGAGATCCAAATCCGCTTTCATCGCATCGAGGACATGCTCTTTGGGTACGCCGCATACTTTGATCAAGGCTAGGTTAGTCATGACCCGAAACCACAGCCAATTCGTCGTGGGGAAGTCTTTCCCATTGATAGTCCCCAGCCACTCCGTAATATTCCCCTTCCCTTCTTCTGTCTGGGAATGGAACATGGTCTCTGGAGCTGATAGTAGCGCGTACGAGATGATCTCCATTTCCACCATTCGTTGATCGCGTAGTACGACGGGGCCCCAGTACTCTTCGTGATGTGGGTTGGTACCATTGGCCAGGCCTATGGCGTAGGGTTTGATGAGCTCTTCGTACTCGTCCTTAGACACAATGTTCGAGTGCATCAGCGCGCCGACTGCCCATAGCGGCCGGGCGTATCCTTCAAGCTGGGCGGCGACATCGTCGAAATGGGTGCCGGTTGATAATGGGAGTTTGATTCGGGCGCCATGAGGTGATTGATATGGCTTCAGTGCGCGAAGGAGTGCTATTGATGCTGTTTTGAAGTCGGCGTGGGTCTTGAACGGGTTGTTTGAGAAGCCGTTTAGCGGAGGCATAGTGTCCTGAGCGTTATCAAGAGTATTTGGCGCGTGAAACCAAGCCCGATAGTTCTTCCAAATGAAGGCTATGCAGTCACAGCTCTACATGTTCCATAGTCTCCTGAGTCTGGTGGTTCATGGTATGGACCGCCCGGAGCGGCAGCCGTGGATGCAAAAGACGGGTGCCTCTTTGCATCCAAACTTCAATAGGTAGCGCATCCGCAAGATATATCGATACCGCGTATCGCCATAGGCTCCCGTCCCGTATTGATGAAATCGGGTGGCTTCCGGGGTGGAGTGATGGTGATCAGCCGAAAGGAGGGTTAGACTGCGCGGGGCCCGCGTGTGGAGTAATTATCGATTTATCCCGATGCCCGCCGCTCGCTGCATCCTCCACATTTGCTTCTTCTTGATCAGCGCTTTTGCGATGTCGTGCTGATGTCGGCTGGGTGGACCAATTACTCGGTTGGCAATGGTAGCCAGGCAGGCGAGGACGACGGTCCCGTCTCGGTGGGCGGTGACACGCCCGCGTGCGTTAGCTGCAAGCAACGCAAGCTGCGATGCTCGCGCGAGACACCCTCGTGCTCGCATTGCTTGAGGCTGGGTGAGTTTTTCTGCCAATTGGCGCTATTTCGCGTCGCTGTCTTGCGTCGCTAATGTGCCATAGCTTCTGAATGTGTTTATCAGCCAAAGAACAAACCTGGGCTTAAGCCCGGAGCTGTTGAGGCGTTGACCCGCCGCGTCGGTATGTGGTACTCCTTCTACTATGAACTCAATCTTACGTTCCGTAGCCTTTCTTGAGAGGATACTGCTAGATGATGCGGGAAACATACGGCCACGGTATAGAGACGATGATACCACAGCGAATGGCCACGCCGTCGCGCATGAAAGCCCCAGTGCTGTAAAAGAACGCGCACCTCGTGTTGAGGAACACGCGCCGTATGTCGCGCCTACTCCCGATTTTAGCCACAACCACCAAATCGCAGAGGATGGCTCCAGAGGTTCCGAAGAAGAGAACGGCGTCTCCAATCCGCTGAAAAGAAGATTTGAGATGCCAATTGCTGAGAGTTGGCTTTTCCCCTTCGAAGATGTTGATATCGCGCAGCACTTGCCATCTCAACCACTGCTCGAGAAGGTCGCAGACTTTTTCTGCGTCTCGTTCCATCATTGGATTCCATACATTCATAAGGCGAGACTCCAAACGCGAGTGCGCCAAGGTTGCCAGGATCCAGGACATGTGTTGGTCCTTCACGCTCTGGTTGCCGTTGCTCTGCGACACATGGACCCCAACGTACTGTATCTGGACACTGATCAGATCCTTCAGCAAACGAGGGTCTCCAGGATGATTGTGGAAACGCATGCGATGCGCAATGTCACCATCGAAAGCTTGCAGGCCCTCATCTTCCTAGTTTTTGACCTTCTCAATGATGGTCAAACACAAAGAGCGTGGCCGCTGATCGGATCGCTCACGAGGACTATAGACTATCTCCAACTTACTACTGAGCCATCAACATCGCAGTCGGGATCACTTATGACGCCCGTGCGGTTAGTGAAGCCTTCAAACGATTGGACGGAGTTGGAAGAGCGACGAAGATTGTTCTGGATCATCTTCCTGCTCGATCGATATTGTTCGGTGTCTACAGGATGGAACACCAGTCTCACAGCAGATGACGTGCACCGTCGGTTACCGGCAGATGGCGGCTTCTTTACGAGGGAGGAGCCGGTCACTACACCCTACTTCGGCATCTGGAACAAGGCCGCCGCTCGCATTGGGCGCTCACTAGCAAATGTGCCCGCGCAATACAACGAAGAAGATCCAGGAGTCGACCACTTGCCGCCAGGAGCCAGCCCCAATTCGGCCAACGGCTACATTGATGCTTCTAAGCTAGGCGCATTCGCATACTGTGTCGAAGCAACCGAGAGTTTGAGTCAAGTGACGACATTCTTCCTCCAACAAAGGATTAATTGGCAAGACAAAGAGCATGCAGTCAGCTGGCTGACACGCTTCAAGGAGCTAGACTTGAGGCTTGTGCAGTGGAAGATCTTCTTGCCACCCAGGTGGAAGGACTCCAACATCTCGGCAGACAGGACTGTGGTCGACATGGATCCTAATCTAACACTAGCACATATTACGCATAATACCTCGATGATATTACTGCATCATCCAATCGGATACCCGCCCCGTGGATGGAACGACTTCGTCGCACTACCGAAAGAATGCAGTGCTCAAACCTGCGAGCTCGCCGCAGTAGAAACGTCAAACATCGTCGACAAGTTTCTTACCCACACTCCCATACCCTTCGTCAACGTTCAATTCTCGTTCTGCGCCTTCATCGCCGCCAAAGCACTACTCTTCGAACACCAAGCCACCCGCAAACCTCTACGATCAGAATTCCACCGCCTAATCCACAACCTCGAGGAAATGGCCACAAGATGGAGTGGAAAGAATACAGACGACTCAAAACCAAACAACCAAGCAGCTATATACGCAAACCACCTCAAACGACTCCTCGAAGCCTGTCAAAACGACGCAAATTTCCGCTTCGACTTTTACGACCACAATGGCCTGACCCTCGACCCACAAAACTACGCCAGCCCAACCTACGCAGCAACTCCACAAGCGCGTTCCAGAAGCCTCGCGCATGAACGTTCTTTGATGAGGAATCATGGACGTACCAACAGCTTCACAAGTTCACACTCGACCCTCAGCCCACACCGTATCCCGCCTCCGGACATAACACGGAACACAACCATGCCGTCACCCAGCAACTATGAGCAACACCACCCGCGTCTCCCAAGCGCACACGCGATATCGCCATCCGGTCAGCCGCCACCTCCCATATACGCTTCGCCACAAGTACCAGCTACTTACCCGAACCATACCCCATTACAGCAGTATCAACAGCCCGGAAACGGAGTCCCAGTATCTGGTCCATCGCTCGCTCCGTACGGTAATACTGGTGCGACGGGGAACCAGCATAGCACTCAAGACCAATCTCTGCTTAATCTGTCGGATGCATTTATGGATAGTCATTTTCTGGATATGGATCGCGTTATCACGTTTGAGGATGCGAATTTCTTTATTCCGGGGGATGCGTTTCGGTGGCAGTAAAATGGGATGGGTAGGGCTGGGACGGTGATTGTGGGAGATGTGGTGTAGTCTGATAGGTACATCTATCTCTACCAACGTACCTACTCGGCTATGACCAGCTGCTGGATCGTTGGATACCACGATGTTTCAAGCTATCCCAACTGGTCATAGCCGGATGCGTACGTTGGTAGAGGTAGACGTGCAAAGTCAGGGGATGAGTATAATAGATGCTGGGCTTGTGATAGTTGAAGCATGTGCTACTTCGACATGATTTTTCATGGATGACTATAAGGACCGCAATCAAGAAGAATGAATACATCATCTTTTCCGGCCTATCGAAACCCTCCTTTACACTCGTTATTCCAGCGACGCCACTCTAGGCTCGCACTGAAGCACCTGTATGAGCGCACTCAACACAAACCGCGCCTCCAGATCCAGGTCCCTGCGGGGGTCCATCGCCCCCTTCATCCTCATCACCGCTATCTTCATCTTCATCCTCAAACTCAGACTCGTCATCCTCATCTTCGCTGAGAACAGACTCAGACTCCGAGTGGTACCCTTCCATTTCATCCAACGGCTCTAGCTCGGGCATTGAATCAGATTCATCCTCCGACTCGTACTCAGAGGACAACTCAGACTCATCCTCAGCGTCATCCCGGGTCGGCAATCCCACATCCGGACCCGCCTGCTGCAGAGCCTCAAGCGTACGCAGGTCCCTTCTACGTATGCCTGTAATGCCACTTGCCGCAGCCTCCATGCGCTGTATGTATCGAGCTACCATGTCCTCTGTGAATCGAGCATGCGCCGCCCCCATGCCCTCTGTGAATCGAGCTCTCGCTGCCTCCAACCTCGCGTCAGTTCGAGCTTCTGCTCTTTCAATGAGTTGAGCAAACCATTCGAATGTCATTTCCGTTGGTACAGTCCGCGATGGGAAAAACTCGGCGCGACAGAATGGACAGCTGTTTCCTCTAGTGAGCCAGGCTTCTAGACAGCTGCGGCCGAATATGTTGTTGCAGCAGGTGACCTTGACGGGGGAGTGATCTTCGTTTGGTTCAGCGGGTGCGCTGTTGGCGGCGATGGGGTCGTTGTCTTCGGCGGAGCTGGCAGTGACAGTGGCGCCGTTCTGTGCGACTTCGCCTGAAGGGCCCGCGGATAAGGCTTCTGGCTCCTGAGGCTGAAGATCTTCGCGGCAGATAGGACAGGAGGGGTCGGAGGGCGGCATAGGACATGCCTTCATGTCCGAAGCGAGGAAGGCTGATTTGGTTGTGTAGAGAGGCATTGTCGTTGGTGGTGCTGGTTGATTGCGAGTGATCGTACAGCCAAATGGTGTGGTGGTTCTGGTGGTGGTTCTTGTCGTGAACGGTGGAGGTGCTTCGTATATATACAATCAGAGAGGAGATTGTAAAGTCCCAGAGGGCCCACTAGTCGGTGAAAGCCTGCTGCCATTGCTTCTGCTATGACTATCCATAGCTTTCACAAGGCAACCAGCGCCGAGTCTCGCGGAGAACCCTTGCTTTCACTGCCCAAAACTGTTTCACCCCTCGAACCGCTGTAGGCCGAACATTGTGTAAGAATGTCGTCGAGGCGTTGTGTCGAAGCTCGTCTTGTCCGGAATCCGAAAGATGGCGCGAAGACCCGAGTACGTCTTCCCTTCAAGACCATTTCGCAATATTATTGGGAATAAGCTTCTTAAACATATCCAGCTGCTTCGCGTGCACCGCCATCTTCTGTTCCAGAATCTCCGGTCTTAGCTGCAGCGTCCGATCCACCCTCTGTTGATTCCCACTATACACAACCGTATAATCTGGCAAGCGGGTATAAGGCGGTATGACCGACGAAGCCGATATAGTGCAGTACTACAAATATGTTAGCCCCAGTCTCCCTCAATGCGACCAAAACATGAAGAGTATACATACCCTCCCAATAATACTGCCCCTCCCCAGCACAGCCCCAACCTCAACCACACTCCCCTCACCCACCTCCGCCGCCTCAACCACAGCCCCAGAATCAACAACCACATTCCTACCCAACACCGTTCCCTCACTGCGCATAGATTCCCTCACACTCCCACTCCCCCTTGCAGGAGGTGCCATACTCCCCCTCTTCCCCTCCGCATCCCCCTCAGCACCCATACCAACACCCACTTTCGCGCGTTCGAAAACGACACAGCCCTCGCCGAGGACAACAGGTGCGACAGCGCTGCTGAGTTTGCTATGAGGGTGGAGAACGGTATTAGGCCCGATTGTAACGGGGTGCGTGCCGGTGATTTGCGCGTGCTGCGCGATGAGGACGGTGGTGTCGAGGAAGATGGAGGAGGGTTTTGGGAGGATGGATTGCCGTTTGGGGGCGCCGGAGGTGCGGCGGTGGTCGTTTGAAGGGCGGGGAGGAGCGGGTTGGGAGGACATCGTGGTAGTGTGGTGTGGGATTTGTGTGTGGAGTCTGTGAGTGTTGATGGTAGGGAAGGGTGGATGACGGACGCGCTAAGGATCTACTTAGCGTGTCGCCAAGTCACCTGACGTGAGCGTCTAACTGTGTACCTAGTAGATACTTTTCGCCGATGTCGTACCTGCCTCGTTCTTGACACGACACAAGGTCAAAGTGCAAACCCTTCTATAAGAGGAATCATGTTGCGGCTATATTAGGTGCTCAAGCTCAACGTCAAGTACAATATCCCAAGAGATAGATCGAAGGGGGTATCTCATAACCATGCATTACTACATACATCATGCCAATCCATCGCATAAACCTACATGAATTCTCGCAATGCCCGTCAACAGCGACATCGAACAACACATCAACGATACCGCTGACGGCGCCCGCGCCTTACCCACCAACCACGATCATAAACATATCAACAACATACTAAACCACAACCCTCCTCTCCTCCTCCTTACCCTCCCCACCACTTGGACCCCGCTCCAACTCCGGACTACTCACCTTCTCGGGACTAGCCACTTTGATCGGACTCCTTCTGCCCACTTCCTGGCCCTCAACTTCGATGCGGCCTAGTATGCTCTCCTCGTCCTCTCCCATACCTTCGATACTGTGCAGACTGTCGTCGTCAGAAGAGTCTTCGATGCCTTCAAACATGCGTGCGAAGCGCTGGTGTCCTTCGCGTTCTTCTTGTTCTTGAGTTTTCGGGGCGGAAGGGTCGTCCGGGTCTTCTTCTGCTTCGCGCGTCGATTCGAGCTGCGCTTTGCGTTGGGCGAGGCGGAGGGCGAATTGGCGGCGGGCGCGCGATGGGGGGATCTGGAGGGGTGGTGGGATACTGGGCTGGAAGAGAGTGTTAGTGGAGCTGGTCAATGGAAAGATACGATGACTCGTTAGGGCGGAGATGGAACGCAAGCAATTCGGAATTTACAGAGAAAGGGTGAACAAAGGGGAGACAAGCAGATGGAAACGAGGAGGAAAGAGGACACCATACCAGATCAATGAAGCCCAATCATCCAGTGGTACATCACACAAAGGAGATGAGAGGAAACCACATCTCACGATGCGTATTACTACATGTATCATACACCCTGTCGGATGGCGCAAGGAATGTATGTACAGAAAGGATGATGATAGGCCCATAGATCTAGCATGCGAGCCGTCTGTCCGTTCCCGCTCATGATACAAACAAGTATAAGAAAAGGAAACGCACCAAGGGCGGGAAACATTCGTGGTATAGTGTGTATGCTCGGGGCCATGGACTTATCGATAGTCCATATCAGCATCGTCAAATGAGATTTCACCCACTTGTTCGGAGTCGTCGACAGGTCCCTGTCGTTGTTCCCGCTCTCTCTCGGTGTCGACATCGTCCATGTCTTCGTCTTCTTCGTCACTCGAGTTAGTAAAGCCACTAAGCAAGGAGCCTCCGCTGAAGGTGTACCCACCACCCTCAGTGTCACCAGCATTGGTGAGCTCCATGCTGTCGAGGCCTATGTTGCCGTTGTTGGCGAGGCTTGCATTGGAGAGCCCGCCACTGTCGCCTCCAAAGTTGTTGTTTGCTGCGTTGACGGCGTTGAGCACAGCTTGTCTGGGCCCGACGCTCATGTCGGGTCGTACGCCTCCGAGAATGGCGTTGTCGCGCTCTCGCGTCTCGGCCAGAATATGCTCCACATAATACACCCACTCTTGAGCGTGGACCTTCTCTAGGACCATCTGCGACAAGACTTCGTCGGTATGTCGCTCTGTAAACTTCAACACCTCTTCTGCGATCAGGGTGAGGTGACCCATGTATCCTAGTCGCATGGACGTTTCTTGATGCGATTTGTCGCTCTCCTGCTGTCCTTTGATGATGCGCTCGGTAATGCCTCCGTTATCGAAGAGGTCAATCGCTAGCTGACGGTTGTATCCACGGTCCATCTGGCCGTTGAAAACTTGCTGAACGACGTCGTATACTACGTTATGTAGGAAGTTGTTCCATGGGAAGCGGAAGAAGAAGTCCTGCAAATATTAGCATGTTTCGCTGGAAGATATCGAAAGTGCTTACAAGTATCGTTGGTACAACTTTGTTCTCAACGAATGTGATCTTCAGCAAGTCGCCAACAACAGGCGTACCGTCAATGTCAATCTCGAAGCCGGCAGCATCATCTGCACTGCCGAATACCACCGAACGCACGCTCTGAGACTCATCAATAGGAGTTATCTCCGAAAGATCTGATCCTGCTACTGCTGCGGTGAAGCGCGAGGTGTCGATGCTGGCTGGTTCGGCTTCACTTTTGCGGTTCTTACCCGCAAACAGTGGCGCTGGTTTGTCGTCTGGATGGGGTGAGAGGCTTTCAGATTGTTCAGCAGTGGTGGTATCCGAGGTCTGGTTGAGCTGCTGTGTGAGAAGAGATGGCGGGGTCTTGACATCGGTATCAGACTTCTCGGTCTTCGCGGGCTCTGTCGATTCCTGGCGGTCGTTCATAACGGTGTCGGTATCCAGTTCAAGCTCATCGACCTTGGCACTCAGGCCGGCTGACGTAGGTGACTCGGCATCATCTGCAGGCTTAGGTGGAGATGCAGGCTTCTCAGCAGATGCTGCAGCGTCTTTGGGTGGTGTCAAAGGCTCGTCAACAAACTCGCCGTCATCGCCTGGCGTCTTGGCAGCGGATGGTTCCTGTGGCGCATCTCTCGGTGGCAGCTTCGGCGAGGGCTCCAATGGCTCCCCAATCTGCTCTTTCTCCGTTGCCGTGTCTTTGGCCTCCTCGACAGCAACTTCCGGCGCGACAACCTTTTCAAAGTCGTCTTCCGAACTGTTCTGTACATGCAGAGGTTTTATCTCTGCAGGAGAGTCCATAGATGGGGCGCGCGCGTGGTGGAAGCCTTGGCTATCAACACTGGTGGAGAAATCGCCTGGGTTGCCGGAAATCGCTGAAGTCAATTTGCCGTCAGCCTTGAGACGTTCCCGCTCGGCATCTCGCCTCCTGACTTCAGCCTCGCTGCCCCGTTCGTTGAGCAGAGCCATGTTACTGCAGTGCAGCAACTCGGCCATCAGCTCACAAGTCTTGAACCGATCAAATCCAAGCGGTTCGATCTTCTCGCCAAAGGCTGTCTTGAGCTCTCGCTTTTTCTTTGTAGTGCTGCCATCGCGCTGTGTCACGATCTGGCTTGAGCTATTAACCAGCTCCATGAACTGCGGGATGTGGTTGGCGAATTGGCGAAGCAGTGTTCCCAGGTAGATGGGGTCTGAGTTCTTGGGTACCGGCCCAATCTGGTTCTCCAAATCATAGTCGGAGTTGTTCTTTCTGATAACCTCGATGATGATACCCACACCGACTGTCAGCGGGTTGCCGCCCTGCAGCATGAAATCGATCAGCTGTTTCAGACATTGTTCGGAGACAAGCTGGCGCGTAAGCTCGTTAGGCCCGATGACGGACTGGTCTTGCGTGGTAGCGTTCGCGGATATCGTGATGATAGCCTTGAGGAAGTCGCCAGCTGACGTTTGTGTGGAAGTCGACTGATCGGGGGCGAGGAACGATATCAGGCGGGGAACGAGGTTCTGTTGTTGCAGCCACTGGAGTCTGTTAGTTATGCCAGCAAGCGTGTATGTGGCGACTTACGTCAACAATGCCCTGTCCGCCCTCGCTCTTCTCCAGGCTGATGATCTTCAACAGCAGGTCCATGATGACAGGGCAGTCGACGTGCTGCAACATGTCTGTTACAACATTGTCCAATGACTTGAAGAAGTCGAGCATCTCCTCCATCTTGCGGTCGAGCAGCGACTCGTTGACCTTGGTGAAGTAGCCAGCCTGGACGGGGTCGAGCGGCGCAGGCTGCTTGATGTAGGCCCAGAACTGTCGCAAGGTGTCCTGATTCTCGAGGACCGCCTCGGATATGGACCATACTTCGGACGATAGGATCTCGCACGACACATAGGCGTACTTCATGCGCTGTCGCTCCTCCTTGGTCTCTTCACTGTCGCCCGCATCGGACTTGGTGGTGGATGTCGAGCGCGCCCTGACTTTGCCGAAGAAGCCCGTCCGACTGGGACTCCGCGCCTCGTGCGCAGGCTCTCCTCCGGTGTCGTCGTCGGGTGGCAGGTCGGGTCTGGAGGCGATAACGTAGCGCAGCAGGCGTTCCAAGACATTCTCATCGCGAAGGTATTCTATCAGCTTCGAGTTCTGCTGCTTGAGCTCCTGTATGAGGTCCGACTCGTCGAGCAGCTCCTCGACGGTGACGTCGGGCTTGTCGAGGATGCTGTCGAGCGACGACAGCTGCGCGTACCCGCCGAAGCGCCAAAACATGGTGGTTGCGGTGGTTTGCGGCTACAAGGGCGGGGCAGGGGAAGGGTCGGGCGAGGCACTCGAGAGCGTGTGCAGCAGCGTGGGGCACATGCGTAGATTTACTGCGGCGACCAATGCGTCATAGAAGGACACGCCGTGCAAAGCTGAACACGGCGGCGGGCGGGTTAGCAGAGCGACTCGAGTAAGACAGAGGGCGCGTGTTCGTGGCTTGGGCTGTGTTGCACAGGTGGGACAGGTACCTTAGGCGAACGAGGCCGCGGGGAAGGCAATGGCAAACGAAAAGCGCGCGAGGCTCTGGATCAACCCATGCACCGACTGTTGCGCGGCGTCGTTACAGATACAGGCTGCGAAAACGTCTGTGTCTCCCGAGTCGGAGTGTTGTGGGTATTGTTGGGTTTGGTGGTGACAGGCAAGGCTAGAAGCTGCGTAGTACGGATAGCGTGCCAGGCCGCAGATCACTTGCACCTCCCTGATATCAACAGGACGTGTCGAGTTTGGAAGAACACTACCAGCTGTATCTGGGTACAAGTCTCCAGAGCTGGGACCCAGTAGTTGCTCCAGATAAGCATGCGAGCTAGTGCTGATGGCATGAACACCGCGCATGCTGGAGATTTCAAGGTGATGTAGGAGCTTCGACAGTGTGATGGTTTGGTGCATCTTGCATCTGGCATCGCATGCCGGCATCCGCCTTTGAGAAAGTTCATTCGACTCATTTGTAGATAGCTGTTAATGAATTGCTTCATCATGTACTACGTTTGCTTTTGTTAGCTTGTCAATGTCGGCAATTGCCATGGCATGGGGCACTCCAATGTTTGGCAATCCTGCTTGGGCATCTCAGGGTCAGCCGGTCGTTAGCGCCCACGTGACGATCGATGACGTTAGCGGGAACTGCCGGAGCTACGACCACCGTTCGGTGCCTGCCATTCACCCCACACTGCCAACACACTCCACGCCTGTCCTCTCCCCTCGGCTGCATATCGCGACTCTCCGGCCGGCAACCCACATATCCCTCCACCAGCATGAACCGCCTATTTGGAGCCAAGAGCACCGCGCCCAAGCCCACGCTCAACAGCGCCATCTCCAATGTAGGCTCCATCCATTAGGCAACGCCCTTCCAATACTGACGCGCTCAGGTCGACACACGCATAGAAAGTCTCGACGTCAAGCTCACCAAGCTCAATGCTGAGCTGTCTACCTACCAGCAGAAGCTCGCCAAGATGCGCGACGGCCCCGGCAAAACCGCCATCAAGCAAAAAGCCCTCAAAGTCCTCCAGCAGCGAAAGCAATACGAAGCGCAGCGCGACCAACTCCAGGCGCAATCGTGGAACATGGAACAGGCCGGAATGATGCAGGACAATCTCAAGAACACAATGACCACCATCGACGCCATGAAGACAACGACGAAAGAGCTACGGAAGCAATACGGCAAGGTCAACATCGATAAGATTGATAAGCTGCAAGACGAAATGGCGGACCTCATGGATATGGGCAACGATATACAAGACGCCATAAGCCGCAGCTACGACGTACCGGAAGACGTGGACGAGTCGGAGCTGGATGCTGAGCTGGAAGCACTGGGTGACGAAGTCGACTTTGAGGGTATCGGAGAGTCGTCAGGCGTGCCAAACTTCATGTTAGACGACACTGCGCCGCCTCAGTTCATCGACGAAGCGCCCAATCCCGGTGGCAAGGTTAAGGAAGCCGCAGGCTGATGAGAGACGTGTCTGCGCGCATACTACAAGACCTGTGATCATAAGCGATTCAAGGGTCCCTTCCAGCTTTCTCGTGGTGACTATTACGCTCCGGAAAAATACCTATGTCGCACGCGGAGCCCTTCTATGGACATTAAGTACGAGTTGGCGGCCCGAAAAGCTCGACTAATTTCGTCGAGCAAGGTCGACCATGACCGGCATATCGATGGGGAGCACGCTGCGAAGTCACAATACTTGGAAAGATCGAAAATTGCTTGCCATCTTGAGGACCATAGGCCACATAAAGCCGACAGACTGACACCATAGACGCATGGTCAAGCGATATACCACAAATGATACCCCATGTTATGTTCGAGTTCAACATGTATCTTCCCGAATGCGCGTGATTCATTCCATATCGAGCCTAACCTTGTATATACCCCAGTACGTACGTTTTCTGTACTACGGAGCCTTTGGTTCAGTCATTCGCGCAGTTTCTACGCGCTGCACTGTACCATGCTGATACAGGTTGTGACACAACCGCAATGCTGTATTCCAGTGTTACATCGACGTTTTTATTGAAAGGGGCTGTATACAGGAAGCAGAACCATGCAGTCTTCTACCTAGTTAATATCGTCTTAGGTACCTCTCTCCTGCTCGTAAAAGTCACTCACTGCCGTTGAGACACCGACCGCGATAAGCTGAGATGGAGACAGTATGTACTTTGGTCATCTTGCTACTCGTCTACAATCTAACAATGAAAAGCAATCCTACTCTTACTGGACCCCTTCATCAGGCATCCGCACGCTTAAGACAACACCCAACACCGGGGACTTGTGGGAGCCCGAGACAGAAACCGTAACAGAAACCGTCAAAGAATCCGCAGGACCATATTCTACAGTCATAATACCACCTCTCTTCAAGACTGTCACCATCACAACCGACCGATCCGACTCTAGCGATGCATATTCACGGCCTCCAGAAACGAGTGCAACACCGAGCTATGGTGACTCTGCGACTTTCGATGACAGCTCGTCGTCTTCCATCGACAAACCTGGAATGCACTCCCTTGACATCGGTGCGATAATAGGCGGCGTTTTGGGCGGTTTAACAATCGTTGGCACCATATTCATCGCGATGTACTGGATCCGCCGGAGACATCCAGATAGCAACAAAAGCGAGAAGTCAGCAGGTGAAAACGATGAGGGTCGTGGGACTGCATCAGAGGACGTGGAGGAAACACCATATGAGTTGCCTGGGACTCAGACAGCGCCTGAGCTGGAGGACACAGCAGTGCTTCACGATCGATTACCAACTAGCTAGCTGTTTGCATCGATCAAATCCACCTCGCAGTTGTCTTTCCGGCTTCACCACCTTCCCTTGCAGCACCGTATACTTAATAATATTCTCACAATCCTCAGGCTTCACCCGCGCCAACCATATACACTGCGCAGCCTCGCCATTACCCTCTGCCTCCTGCTCCTTATTAGCATCCAGCAGAACCTCCTGCCCATTATCATCTTCAAGCTTCAGGTCCGCAAGCCGCTTCTCCGCGCCATTGGCATGTCCATTGGCAGTGCCATTCGTGCTCTCAGGCCGTGTAACGACTGAAGAGTGTCGATAGACCATGACGTTTGCCGAGAACTTGTGGCCGCCAACGTGGCTTATAAAGTATATCCCTACGCCACCCGGTCGCTCGTCGTGTAGATCGCGGTATAGTCCCAATGGTCGGAGCAGTCGCTCAAACTCTTTTCGTAGAAGAGGAGCTGACTGGCCGCAGCGTGCGTCTCGTGTCTTTTGACTGCACATTAAGATGAGGTATTTGTGTGGACATGGTCGGGCTTTGAGTTGGGGTGCGGGTATCGACGGGGGTATGGAGGAAGGCGCGTCGGTGTCGGCGGAAGAAGTCTCTTCCGGCTTCTCTGAAGGTGGTAGCGCGGCAGTTTTCCGTGAGCGCAATGGGGTATTGTTTGTAGGACCGGGGTTGATATAGTCGGTGATGAGTTCGGGGATGTTCGCAGGCGTGACATTGTCTATGAACTGCCATGACGGTAGCAGTAGTACCATGGAACTGTGATCCGAGTGGTCTGGGACGGGCATATTGGAGGCGGATAACATGAGTTTCTATACCCAATTAGCTCGCACTCGACACAACCTGAAAGCGTCATATCTCCAGACTCACCCCATTGCTAGGCTTTGCATCGCCCCTGTCAACCGCCTCCATGATGCTGCCCTTCTCGTCTGCGACATCGCGCACCCAATCCGTCTTGCCAGTCGCAACAATCAAATGCGTGCTCCATCCCTTCACGTGCCCATACAGCTCTTCCGTCTCATCAATCTCAAATTTGCGCGGGTACTTGACACTGCAACTAGCACAGTCGTGCAGGCAATCGTCGCCATCTACCGCGGGGTCGGTGGTCGGGAACAACTCCTCCGTCTTCTTCGCTTTGGTGAAATCGTCGCTGTCCTTGGCCAATGTAGGCACTTCTGACGACGAAAGTGCTGAGGTCAGCTTGTAGGACAGGTTGCGCAACATAGCAGGCACTCGGTAGGCGTTTATCGGCCGGTGGGGCGTCTTGGAAGGTGCCATTGCGTATCTTTATATCAGATGCGGCGATTAGATCGCCAAGGCCGCGGAATGTGGGCGCGCGGTGACGCCGACGCTTACGGAGTGGTTGGTACCTGGATGATGTCTTTCACGCCCGTTCACGGCCGTTGTTGCCTAATGAACAGTAATTATCGAACATTACCGAAGTCGAAGTCTTACGGTAGTTGAGACGGAAGCTGACCGCCTCTTATGTTGCTTTTCTTGTCTCGGTGAATTGCTTCGGCTTTCGGACCTCGCGTTATCAGATTAGGCGACGATTATGCTTCCAGCTTCGGATTTGTTGGACGAGGCCCGGACATCCTCACATTCTCCGACTTCTCTCTACTCGGCTCCACATAACCCTCGCATACCTCCTACGCTAGTGTACTTCGAATAACGACGCTGTTCCCATGACTTCTACCGCGCACGCGTCGATCCAACACGTACGCGTAGACGCGTCAGTCGCGTAAGATGCGGCTCAAGATGCTCAATGGAGCGCCCTTGCGCAACCATCTAGAGTTCAACGAGGACACACTCTTGGCAGTCGAGGATTGCCGTCCCTTTGATGCAGCAACAAGTGTTTCTACACCTGCAGATGAATCCACACCGTCTTTAAGGTGGCGCGGACTGCCTTTCAAGAACCCTCGGCTCCAGACTGGATGGTCACAACCATTTCTTCCAGGAAATGTTCAAGGTCAAGACATATCAGATGTTTCGCTGCCCAATGTGGGTCGGTATACGTCGTTTTTACAGGAAGATACTACCCACTTGGATACATCTATCGCCTTTGAGGATACGTCAATCGCCACACCTGGCTATCTTGAGCATTCTCTCGTCTTCCACGACACGCTACTGTCGTCTCAGGTCCTGCCAGACGGTATAACAGATAAGAGCGTCAGCTCCTCATCCTTCTTGACTACTTCTTTCGGAACTACTCTATCCGACTTTGATAGCCCAAGCAAAGTCGATGAGCATACACTACTCGTCAAAGTCGCGCCCAAGATGAGCATCACGCCTCTTGGATTGTTACCTAGCGCACAGCGTCTACGAGCAATTTACCCGCAAACCCCAACACCAAACTTCTTATGCGTTGTGACAGCGACTCCGGAACAAAAAGAAGTCTTCGTTCGGAAGGGCGGATACAAGATGAATCTATGGGAGATCATCGTTGCGGATGATACACGCTCAGACTTCAAGGTCACATTCTGGCTGCGTCCACCCCGAGAATCAAACAACGAACAAAACCACGTTCAAACCCCACTACTGCAGACACTAGAGAGCATCAAAGTTGGCGACATTCTGCTTCTGAGGAACATTGCGTTGACATCGTTCGGTGACACCGTCTTTGGCCAATCTCTGAACCCAGCCATCACACGGGCTCGAACGACTATCGATGTCTTGACGAGAAGCAACGGTATATCAGCTGCCCAACTGGGTGGGCTTCCGGTCCCAGTAATCGAAGTTTTCAAGAGAGTCAAAAAGTGGGCAAGATTGCACATCGCATCTGATAGTGCAGGCTTGAGAAAGAGAAAGAGCAGCCAGGCGAAACAACTCAAGGACACGAAACGCACTTTCACAGCGCGTGATGTCGATGACTCCATGCCTCCCGACACTATGGAAAGTGTATGAAGCACATCCCCCGCAAAATCGCGATAACACCAATTTTGCCGGTTACCAATCGCTGCGTGCCGACATTGTTTCATCGCATCGACCATTCCAGGCCGTCACATCCGAGTTGATAGGTGCCTGAATTTCGGTGGCTCGTCAATGTGCTCTCTGTGAGCGTCGCACCATGCCGTGGTGGTCTGTGCCGCAGCCCTGCCATCTCACACAATCAACATCACACAGCTTCCCCACGCCACAGCCACAATCAGTATACTGCACCGATCGAAGATGGCCCGCTCGTGCCGATGTTTGATTCTCGACTAGCCGGCGGGGCTAAGACATCCCCAAGATACTCAACTGTCTATGCTGTGTCTTGGCCAGGACGACTAAGTCAACGGTCAAGTGCGGTTATACTGAGATATGGAACACCGGTACTAGACCCCCAATGAAGCTCGATGATACGCTACAGGACTCTGAACGTCTGTGTTCGTTGTCCATACGTCGTGCTCCTCCGTCCTTGGCACGTTCATGCGAAGAAACCAAACATGTTTCGAACATCATCCTACATGCAAGGATGCACCGACCAACAACGGCGTACACGCTGCGGCACCTGCCTTTTGACAGATGGTGGATGTTTTACGCATGAAGTACCGGTACTACAACGCGGTACGTCACTTACAGGCAGCGGGGCAGTGGATTGTGCCATCAGCCGTTCATTTTACGGACATCTTATATACAGCATCGTGTCCATCTAGAATCCCATCACAGCATCGCTTGCCCAGTCTCTTTTTCAGTCCTAGTGACATTCATTCTTTTCGTTCGCAACTTGTTGCAGCTTCCATTCGTTCAGATCTTGACGATCATTTTCATTCGCTACCGGCTGGCCAACATGAAATCACTCTTTTCTTTCACTGGTCTGGCTACCACACTCTCGTTACTGGCAAGCGTACAAGCTGTGTCCAACTCTACCAATGGCCCTTCATGCGGAGTTGCAAAGGCAGACGACAGCTACTTCAGTGTTGTCGGGGTCCAAGGAACTGGAGTACACCCCCGACAGGAACTCCGTGAACTGCAGAAAGACACGGAGTTATGGAACATCTTCATCCAAGCGTTTGCTCGCTTCCAGGCTATGGATCAGGATCAGAAGATCTCTTACTTCCAGGTCGCAGGTATGGAATCCGTGTTCTTTTCAGAGGCTCTGCTGACATCTCCAGGGATACATGGAGTGCCATTCCAGAAGTGGGACAATGTGAACGGGACAGCTGGTCATGAGATGATGGGATATTGTCCTCATGGGTCCAGCATGTTCGGACCTTGGCACCGGCCGTATCTCGCGCTCTTCGAGCAGGTTCTCCATGATCGCGCGGTCGACGTCGCCAACGAGTATCCCATCGGTGAAGCCCGTAACAAGGCCTTGGATATTGCAAACCGAGTTCGCCTTCCTTACTGGGACTGGGCGATGGATCCGCCAAACAGTGAAGAGGGTGTCATCCCTGAGAACGTGCGTTGCCTCACGGCTACCGTCACGTTTCCCAATGGGACCACAGGGTATATCCCCAACCCTCTGTACAAATACGACTTCCATCCTCTGAAGTATGATGACTTCGCTCCTTTGGTACGTCTTAACTCTGTACTTATGCGTTCCACGTGGAAGATACCATCCGCGAGAACTCGGCTGCTAACACACAAGTAGAGCGAGTTTGAGTTCAAGTACTGGAACCACACCATTCGGTACCCAGCTGATCCCCACGCTGCCAATGCCACTAGCCGTAACAGCGAGGTTAACGATCGAGTTGGCAAACAGCAACCCAATCTCCGCGATATGCTCTACAAGTTGCTGACGACGTACCAACCTTTCAGCCAAGTGAGCAACAAGGCGAACGGTGGCAAGATCGGAAACTTCGAGACTCTACACGATGGTCTGCACACCGTCTTCGGATTGGGTCACATGGGCATAGTGGAGGTTTCCGCATTCGACCCCATCTTCTGGTTCCATCACTGGTAAGCCCTCAGAACGTAACGCTGAGAGTAATGCTAACCGTGTGTAGTAACATTGATCGGATCATATCTTTGTACCAAACTCGCTACCCCGACACCTGGGTCGAGGACGCCGAGCAGCGTATGGGTTCGTTCGCTGTCGCCAGCGGTAGCGTTCTTGGTACTGCTTCGCCACTCGCACCGTTCCACATGAATGCCCTTGGTGACATGTGGACTGCAACCACTTCCCGCAACTGGACTTCCTTTGGATACACCTACCCCGAACTCGAAAACAACCCCAGCAATGCGACACTGACATCGTCCATCAATCAGTTGTACAAAGCCCAGACTCAAGGTCTGAGCGAGACCAATGCGACAGTCAATGCAACGTTCCCGACTCCAGGCGGAGGCAGCATCAACCGCACGGTTCAGGCTACCGACTGGCAGTGCGAAGTCAACATGCCGACCGACATCAAGGTCTCCTACGCCGTTCGCGCCTTCCTTGGCGAGCCCAGCACCAACCCCATCGACTGGCCCACAGACCCCAACTACGTTGGTCAGCTCGCCACCCTGTCTTCTCCGCGAATGAGCTCCTCAAACATCGTTACGGGTAACATCGGATTGACCGAGAAGCTTGCACAGAAGCACGCGGCCGGCGAGCTCAAGAGCCTGGACAAAGAGACAGTACAGGCCTATCTCAAAGAGAAGTTCAGCTGGCGCATCCAAGCTTTGGACTTCAGCGAGATTCCACGAAACAAGCCACCCAAGGGCTTGAACGTCACCGTATTCAGCGTGCCAGTCAGCATTCCAGAGTCCGACACCGAGGTGCCGACCTGGAACGGCGATGTCGAATACAAGGACGACATCGAAGGCAACCCACCCGTGTACAACGGACCTGGACCTGACGGCACCAACTCGACTCTCCCCGCAGACCAGTCGAGCGGATCTTACAACGCTGAGTCTGGCGAGTTTGAGTGGAAGAAGGCTCCGGTTCCAGAGGTCGCGCCTGACGCTGGTGGTGCGGGTCCCCAGATTGCAACGACGCTCTTGGAGTCGGTCATTACGCAGTATGTGACACTGGGTGCTTCTACCCCTGCGGTATCCACGCCTACACCTGCAACCTCATCTGAGGTCTCTAGCGCGCCGGCCATCTCATCTACACCTACACCCACACCCGAGGTTTCTAGCGCACCGGCCGTCTCAGAGCAAGCCCCTGAGCCTACCGTGCCTGCTGATCCGCAGACTACGGTTGTGACTTCAGTCATCATGGAGTATGTCACTGTGTAAGCCAGTGACAATGCCTGGCTAGGTATCGTTCCTGCTGTTTGTTGACTGCGGCGGACTTTCCCGCTCTTCTTTCTTGTACATGTCTCTCTTCACGTTTGTGCACACTCGCACTATCACACTCGTTCTATGCTGTTGCATGTACATACCCACGCTCGCTTCATATCGCTGTATATACACTACCACGCCTTACGCATTACGCTTATTTCGTCACGCACGCAAAAGAAATCCAATCACTCGTTCTTTGACTCTTGCTCCTTGCTCACCTATTCTGCTCTTATCATATGCCAGCTTCCCTCATACCGTCTTCACACATACTCACTCGCAGCAAACGCTCATCAAAACCTCAAGCAGACAACGCAGACTTGCTTCACTTCAACATGTATTCCTCGCCAAAGACCACTCATCCCAACGCCCCAACACCCATCACAGCAACCCCGCCCTCAAAAGCTTATTCCCAAATTCCAAAAGATAGTAATCCGCATACACCAACCCATGATCCGCATACTTCATATGCGCATGCTCATTCCAATTCGTCGTGCTGTTCCTTAGTATACACTCAAAGCCCGACTCTTTGATCTTGAGCTCCGATGCTACCGCTGCGCCGTTAACGCTATTCCCGTTGACCATGCTCTTGGTGGGGAGTTCAAAAGATGCTAGATCAGAGTCGTACGACATATCTAGCGTCTGTGATACTATCTGCAGTGCGATGTCGAGGAAATTGGTGGTGCTGCTAGAGGGGAGTTGCGATGTGGCTGTTGAAGAGAGGGACTGGAGTGCTTGGTGGATGATAAGGAGACCGTTCGCTGTTATCACGCCTGCGGAAACGTCGCGTAGCGGCTCCTCAGCATTATCTTGTGGCGCGTCGAAATCCCAACACGGGACCATGGGGTGGTGCCACTTCCCCTCTCCTTCTTTCAGTCTTCGCAAGAAGTACTCTGCGCATTGGATCGCTGTCGCTAGGTATTTCACATCTTTCGTCCACGAATACGTCTGCGCGAACCCCATTATAGCCCAAGCTTGGCCTCGACTCCACGTCGAATCGTCTTTCCAGCCTTGATTCGTCATCTTGGCTTGTGGTTGACCGGTCCGCGGATCGAAGTTTACGAGGTGGTAGGAGGAGAAGTCTGGTCGCAGGATTTCGTGGATGATGGAGTCGGCGTGTTGGGTTGCGATGTCGATTAGCTTTTGGTCGTTTTGTATGTGGCCGACGAAGTAGAGGAGGTCGAGATCTGTAGTGAAAGGGTGAGTAGGGTGAGGAATAGAAGGGGTGGAAGAGGACTTACTGCACATGCTATCTATGATGACGAGGAAGTTTGTCGACATATCTGTGATTGAGTAACGGTCGTTGATCGCAACATCCCAACTCCGAATCGCTTTTACTCGGTCATCATATCGCGATGCGAGCGCGTAAGCTGCATTGACGACAGATTGTAAGCTCTCTTTGTTCCCGGTCAACTCCCAGTCTTTTTGTAACGCGGGTTGCACGATAAAGCCCATGTCGTGTGTATCTGTTCGACCTGACATCTGGTTGATAGCAACGCCATAGTGTCGTCCTAGCTTCAGTAGCTGATCTTGGATCTGTGGCCGCACATGTTCTGGGACATCAATGGCCTGTGGGTATCGTATCGAGCGTTCGAGAAGGGCGTATATACATCCTGGGAAGAAACCACAGGTCCAGAAATCTGCTTCTCGCTCTTCGTATCGGCCTGCCTCGGGACCAATCTGGGGTACGGTGTGTGGGTATGACGGTAAGGGAGCCT